TTTAACCGGGGTCACCCGCAGATTTTTCACTATACATAATTTTTGGATTGGGAACATTGTACAAATGTCAAGCTAATTTTTCAGAAAATTAGAAAAAGTAGATGGGGTCACGTGACCCCGTTACTCCCTCTCTCTGTCCGCCACTGATTGTACCTAATAGCTTATCACGAAAAGAATGTGCTCAATTATTTTGGAGTTTCAACTTAGTTGTGCACTTAAGCAGGGAGAGACAATGTACAATGTCACAACCGATATTGATTCGTTGGTGCAACAGAATGCAAAGAGAGCCTCACTCATGGGAGAGTTTTCTAGTTTCTGGAGAGACGGGTTGCTGTGTGCACTTGGGTATCAAACTAAGCAGAAAAGGGAGAGAATGAAGATGGTAAGTCATTTGAGGAAACTATGCAGTCATCAAGAGATAGCACTTGGATTCTAAAACTCAGTCACCAAGGGAGAGACTGAAGATGTATTGTTGACGAGTTTGAGAAATGCTTGGATTCTAAAACACAGTCATCAAGGGAGAGATTGAAGATTAAATGCTGACTCATTTGAGAAAGTAATACAGAAAGTATATCAAGAGGTACTACAAGTGGCTCAGGACGTACTACAAGAAGTAAGTCAGGAACAGAGCAGTGCGATTGCTGTTAACAAAAAGCTGGACTACATATATGGACAACAGCTAGGGACGACTTGGGCAAGCCAAGAGGTGTCTGCTGAGCTGGATAATCATCTTAAATACTATGTTTAAGATGATGGAAAATTTCCTTATTCTTATGAGAAGAAAAAGGAAAGATTGCTTGGAGATCCTAGGGTTTTAGGGTTGAGCAATCGGTTAAATACTAAGAGGCCAGAGAGGTACACAAGCTGTGTGTGGTGTCATCTCACCAGAGAGATTTGTATGATCTTGGTGGTCATATTCTGTGAATATCACAACTGTTTGTAGACAATGATGCTCTGATGCTGCCGGATGGTAGTCAATGCATGCAGGCTTGATACCTATCTTAATAGTTCATTGATCTAAATAGAATGGTAGGCATTGTAGTGTTGGATACCATAACAACTGTAATTGCAACTTGTTGTAGTGGATTTGTTTTGGACTAGGTCCTGGGAATGTAGGGAAACCGAACCTCGATAAAAAAACTCTATGTGTTCTTTACTTTATGTTCATACATACTCTAACATGACTATAACACATAGATATAGCCACAATATGCACTTACATTTTTTTCTCCGGATAAGATACAAGTCTTTTAATGTCCAAAATATACTAAAAGTCAAACAATCTCCTTTTGGTAAAATTGTGCTAATTAACCAAGTTAGTCTAGACGTGTGTATTCATATATATTTTATATACGACCATAACCCACTCAAAAGAAGGTTATACATATATTTTGATTCACACAATGAAAATCCAACGATAGCACAACAATCAAAACACATTTGGTTAATTCTGTGGCACTAGTTTTCATTGCTACAATATTTAATGTAGTAGCTAGAATAAGTTAAACAAAGCACTGACAATGGTTAAGTCAAACAATGCACACGACCTTCCAGTTACAACATTTAAAAATTTATGAGTGGGATGGCTCAAAGGAATCTAGAGTTCTAGATCAAACAATGCATATAAAGAAATGTTGGCATGTACATTTTAGAATAGCTAGATTTACTGCCCTAGCAATAATTAAAACATGCATTTGGTGCAACTATTTACTATTACAAGACAAAACTAAAACAAACATGCATTGGTGTAAAAATATTCTGTAAACCAATACGATTATGTTACCTTGTCCTATAAATATCATAATAGATACAATATTTGTATTCACAACACTAAAAAAAACTTCAATAATATTTACACTTATCAAAAAATGTCTCGTTCTATTGGATATTCTTGTGAAAAAGAGAAGTTTTTATGTCATACTATATGCAAATTTCTCAAGATCCAATTCAAGGTGTTTATCAATCGCTGATCAATTCTGGGGTCATGTAGTCGAAGCTTACGATAATGGAAAAGATGCAATGTGGAAGTGACCGGTCCAAAAAGTCAATTCAATCCCGGGTTCAAACAATTCAAAAAGCAATAAAGAAATTGCATGCATACACAAAACATTGTGAAATAAACATCCAAGTGGTGCTTCAAATATTGATATTGTAAGTATTAAATTTTATATTTAAATATATTTGTTTGAATAATTTTTTCATGAATATACGAATTTTTTTTTAAAATTATATGTAGATTAACCAAGTCAAATTAATGTTAGGAGAATATCAAATGTTTAAAAGAGGTTGGAAATTTTAGCATGTTTGGGATACTATTAAAAGTTTTTGAAAAATTTCAAGATGGTGTTTTCCATGCCAAACGTTTCTCTAATCCATGTGGTATTGAGTACACTTCTTTCGAATCAGATAATCTTAATCTTGATTCTCCAACTCAAGCATCACCAAGGTTATCTTCTTCTTCATTAAACTTAAATGATGAGAATGAAATTATTAGTGGATCTCCCTCTTCAAGATCACTTGGTGTAAAGAAATCCAAAATGAAACGAAACAATTGTTGATCAGACCACTTCGGTAATCAATACATTGGAAGAAGGTAATAAGCAATTTATGGAGTAATTAAAGAAGTCAAGTGAACAAAGATAACATCAATTGGAGATTCAAAGTCAAACTTATACTTTGAAAGAGTCGAAGGAGAAAATAAAATTTTCTTTTGTGACTTAAAACTCCATAGAAGATCCAAATGTTTGTGAACATTTCTAAGCATAGAAACCACCAGCAACAAAATCATCAAACTCTTCCTCCATCCACTTCGTTTGGACGATATTTTAACGATTTACCAGAGTATTAAGTTGTTTCAATATGTTGTATTAATTAATATTTAAGTTCAAATTAAATATGTTTATCACTATTTAAGATATATGAAGACTTTTTGATAATTAAATTATAATTAATAATTTTAGTTTTGAATATAAATTTAGATATATTTTTTATTTATAAAGACAAACTTTCAAATAAAATAAAAATATTATTTCTTTATTTAGAGAATTAGACTTTTAAATAAAATAATAATATTATTTCTTTATTTTATTTCTAAACTGTAAAAATTAAGAATTATTTTGTAAACAAAAAAAATAAATTGTGTGTTTATAAGTAAATATACTATATTTTTCATAAACAAGTATTTTAGTTATAATCATAAAGAGTTAAAGGACTATTGTGTAAATAAGAAAATATGCCTCTATTATAGAGGAATGCTATTTTTTCCCCTAAATATAGAGAAAAATATAGCAATCTCTATTTTAGGGGAAGAAATAAAGGTGGATCGTGGTAGATTTTACTCTATTATAGCATATAGAGGTGGATTCGAGATGCTCTTATCGCTTTGAATGGTATGTCTTCTGACGTGTTAGACAAGGCACTGAGTGTTAGCCGAAATGTAAGGTTTCAAAGTTTCTCTTTAAGACCATTAAAACGGTCAGTAGTTCATCAATTTATCTCATTTTTTCTTTACTACGAGGAAACACTCACAGCTCTTACTTTAATTAAAAGTTTTGTTTGATTAAGAAAGATGTCTTTGATGTTTATCTTTCTACATTCTCGATCAGTTTACATCCTAAAGTCAACTGATTGGGTTACATGCTGGATTCCTAGACAATTCTCATCTTTCGATCCATGTCTATCTTTCTCAGGCTAAAACAGTGGCTTGCCATTGACACGAAAATGACAAGGCTGCTATGTGAGATCAAATGTTGTGTGCTTCGGTGCTTAATTGAGTACAAATGTGACTTTTATGGCAAGTACTCTAAGTAGTTTTGTATCTTATTATATAAAGCTTAGTTTTCAAAATTACTAATTAACATGATAGCGAAACATGGCGATTATATATTTAAGATTGTGACATTTATTAAATAACTATTTAAAAAAAAAAAAAGTTAAACCAAAAGAATTTAATAGTTAGTTTTAATTTTTAAAACAATTTAAACATAAACTTTAAAAAGTTACTTTCCCTTTTAAACAATCTTAAACAAAAACTATAAAAATTATATTTCCATATAAATAATATTTAATAATAATATATTTTTGATAAGTTACTAATTAAGATGATTATAAAACATGTAAATTATGTATTTTAAGATTATGACATATGTTAAACAAATATGTTACATGTTTTATTTTTTATTTTTAAAAAACTTAAACCAAAAGAATATAAAAACAATCTAAAAAGTTAATTTTTTTTTAATTCTTATACAAAAAAAGTTTTAAATATTTTCGTATAAATAAAATTTTAACAATGGTATTTATTTTTTAAAACATGGGTTCAAGACAATTACAGGCTTGATTTTTCAAAGTTGCTAACTAATATGACTGTGATACATTGGAATTATATAAAATCGTCGACGATTGTTGACAAAAAAAAATGTAAATTTTACTAACTTAAATTCGACTGGTGGTCTCACAGTATGATTTACGAGTAACAAAATCTGATTTATCATAACATTATCTTCATAAAAAGAATATATATATATATATATATATATATATATATATATATATATATATATATTCGATTAACAAAATAAAATATGATTTATCTGAACAATATCTTCATAAAAGGAAAATGATTAACAATATATAGGATTTTTTTTTACTATTAAAATCTATATAATTTTTTATCAGAAATTAAAATATATGTACAACATATGATTTATCATAGCATTATCTTGATAAAAACCAAATCTATATACGATTAACAAAATATAATTTATCATATAACATTATCTTCATAAAGCAAAATCTAGACATACATTAACATTTTCATAACATTATCTTCAAATCATCTAACAACCAGTTATTGCAAATAGGAAACTGCAACGATGATAAGATAATAAACTGATTTTGTTTTAAAAATTCCATATAGTAGTATAAATATACGTACAAATCAATAGGTTGTAACCACACTTTTGTAGCATCAAACTTGAGAACTAAACCCTGAAAAAGCGATGTCAAATAACTATGAAGCCATTGATCTTGATGATATCATGTTTAATAACGATGAAGATGGAGGAATTTACTTTAATCCTGAAGACGAAGAACTCATCAACAAGCATCTACTACTCAAGTTAAAAACGTATCTAAAATCCAAGTCAAAAGATGTAGTCTGTGAAGACTCCAAACCCAAGTCAAAAGAGGAAGATTATGATGACTTCATCGAGATGAAGAACGTCTACGATAAGGAGCCATGGTTGCTGGACCATATCAATAATCCTTTGTTCAGAAAAAACGAGTGGTTTTATTTCGTGACAAGAACTCAAGTGTCAGTGAAGAACATTGGTCGTGGTAGGAACTCAAAGAGGAGGATCACCGGGGACAACGATATTGGGAGTTGGAAACCTAACGCTAAACAAGATATCAAGGACGAAGAAACAAAGAAGATCGTAGGTAAAAAGCAAACCCTGAAGTTCACTACAAGCGACAACAATAAGAAGCAGAAGATAGGAGACAACACTTCCGTTGTTGTTCCCGGGAGCAATAGTAGGTGGATTATGTACGAGTATTCACTACCGGACGAACATACGTTTCAAGAGCTGGTCCTTTGCAAGATTCGCAAGATAAGCAAGTCTAAGGATGACGATGAAGCCATGGAGGTGACACGTAACGTAGAAGAAGAAGAAGATTGGATTGGAGATCTCTTTGACAGATTCGAAAGGACTGGACTAGATGACCTTTAAGTTTTCATGTAGAAACACAAGAAGCGTCAACATGTATTGAACATCTTCTTAATCTTAATGAAAATTATTCTTTATTGTTTCTCAAATTGTTTTCAATTGTATATGTGATTTAAATTTTTCATCAAACAAAAATAATCTATTTAATTATACGTTCTGTGAAAAATTGGGTAATACGTTAGTGACAATATATACAACTGCATGAATTACTAAATAGGTCAATACTCTCTCTTCTTATTGGTTTATGTGATTTGAACTGGAGGTTAAGGTGTTGAGGAGAAAGAGAACCATAATTGTTTTAGTCATTAGTGAAAATCGTCTTTTGCAATATAATTTGATATCCAAAATTTTAAAGTTGAATTCATATAATGGAATACTTTAAGGAGTGTATGCCGTAAGATAAGAATCAATTGCTCTACTTCTTCTCCTTTGTTGTTTTTGTTCTGTTTTCCATGCATTAGACTGCCTTGATAACATATTCGCTTGAGTTTGGATTCTTGTAATTTGTAAACTCCGCTGTAATAAATTGTTTATACATTGTAAATTTTCGGAAATAGATTACAACCTATTCTCATGACAAAGAGTAGCGAGGATGAATTATATACATCTTAACCACTAATATTGTGGAGGCTATATGCAATATCCACTCCTGCTTACATGAATGTTGTTGCTCATACTCGTCTTGCCTCGAATATGAAGAGTGGGAAGCTATAGTCTTGTGGTCATGTCAAAATTTTTTCTATCACTAAAAATAACGTAAAGACGTTTCTTCTGCTTGCTTCCGTTGCAAGAATACGCGTTCTTGTGGCAAGTCAAAATATCTTATCCGATGTGTCAGGGAGAGGTAATTTCCAAGCAAAGTAGGTCAGAAGAGCTCCATTGTCATCTGCAGTAGACTTCTTCAACTCAAACAAAGAATAAAGAGAAGCAAGCTGATTCTAAATTACTCATACATAAACATAATTTAAAACAGTGCCATCATAGTTGACGTTGAGCAAGTTAAAGAACTTAAACTACATACAACTAGCATTTTATTGAACTAGAATACGTTTTGTATGAACTTATTCAACCCATTAACCTAATGCTGAGGAGAAGAGATATGTGCAAGTATGTAGGATAACCATGTTACACATAGATTATCCAAACTGAACATATATGACCCTAACTAGTTGAAAACTAATCTAACCAAGCTTGTCATATATATGTGAAACACAACTGTACAGATTTAATCACTTCATGTACATAAAAGCATGAGCATTGTACCTATAACTTATTATGAGGATAAGGCTACCAAAGTAGTTAACCCACACAACTATAAGAAACGTCTAAGTGGTGACATAGACAGTGTGGTATATTACTAATTTAAAAGGGAAGAACATTTCTTAGCTTCCTTTTTTCTTTCTTAGCTTTTCTTTGATAATGTCTTCCATGTAATTAAGATCAACTTTGACTTTTGTACAGTTTTCAAGACATAATTCTCATGGAAAAGAAAATGCAGAAGAATCTTTTATTCACAAACTAAGGTGTGAGAGAATATCATCTCTGTTCCATATACTGGATTTGTAGGATCACATGGTATCTGGATGATGATTAGTGTCCATGTGATGCTTTTGGTGTCAGCTCAAGACGGCTATCAGTTTGTACAGTATGACTTCAGGGAAGCAAACCTTTATCTTGATGGGATGGCAAATACCAAGGATGGTCCACTCCATCTTACAAATGATACAAAGGCAAGAACTGGTCATGCCATGCTCAAAACTCCCTTGAATTTCACATCCACATCTCCCAGTTCATTTTCCTTTTCAACAGAGTTTGTCTTTGTAATCTTTTCACTGGCAGAACCTCCTTCCTATGGCCAAGGTATGGCTTTTGTGGTAGCTTCTACGATAGACCTCATGCGAAGGGCACTGCAATTTCAGGTTTAGGTCTTTTTAATCCAGGAAATAAAAATATATCTGAAAACCAGATCCTGGCCATAGAGCTTGACACTAATGAGAGCTCTGAATCATTTGACGAAAATGATAACCTTGTAGGAATTGATGTTAATAATATAGTCTCGGTCTAATATGCCGATGCTAAGTATTTTGATGTTACAGAGGGAAAGAATAAAACTCTGCTGCTTGCAAGTGAAAAACCTATTCTAATATGCTTAGATTATGATGGAACAGTGGCGCAGTGTATCAACGGTAACTCAGCTCAAATCTAAAGATTTAGATTAAATCTATAGAGACCTGACTTCTTGGATCGAAGAATTTAATCAATTCGATACAAGGCTCTCGTATTGATGACAAAATCGAATCAATGCAAGGCTTTAGAGAAAAACTCTAGTTTATTATCCTACAAAAACTAAGGGTTTGATTGGTAGAGCATTAGCATAAGCATTATACTCTCTATTATTTAATCAACATTTGTCAAAGAAGCATTTGGAAAAGCATTTACCAAATGCTAATGCTCTCCAAATGCTATTTTCTCAATGTTCTCCAATAGAGCTTTTGGTAGAGCATTTGCATTTACAATATATAAAAAAAAATTAAAAAAATTATACATAATTAATTTATTGTATTTTAATAATAAAAAAATTATTTTTATAATCAAAAATAAATTTATATTTTAAAAATTAAAATAAAACTATAATTAAATATTTTTAAATTATTTAAAAGAACAATATTTCACATTTAAAATATAATATAATTTATATAATTACATATATCATTCATTATTTTTAATAACAAGCATAACATAATATATATTTATATATTATAAATATATATATATATATATATTAATTATACATTAATAAATAAATTATATAATATATATTAATTTTTAGGGTAATTTTATATATGAATCATTTACTGCTCTATCAATAAATAATAATAATTTATATATAATTTATTTATTTATTTAATAAAATTAAATATTTTTATCTCCAAAAATAATTTAATATTTTTTTAAAAATTACATTTTTTAGATAATTAAATTTTACATATAAACTATAATATAATTTATATAATGAATAATATTCATTATTTTTAATAACAAATATATTATAAATATATAAATATATTTTAATATAAATATTTATTTATATTAACTATTATAATAATTTTTAAAATTGTATACTACTACTGCTCTACCAATCACTTTATTAAAAATTTTACTGAAAACATACAGCTTCTGCAGCATACAGCTTCTACAGCATACTGCTAATGCATTATCATCTGCCGTACCAATCGAGGCCTAAATATTAAAGTCAGCTTACAACACCTTATATAGGTTTATAGAGACGATTTATAATAACCTAACTATTTAAAAAAGGAAATCTAACAAAAAGATTTCATAAATAGAAAAGAAATCTTCTAAAAGCCGAAATAGAAAAACAGTTGCTTGGTGGTGAAGGTATCATGATGCTGCATCAGGTCCCCCAGGGTTAGAAAGATTCGACCTCGAATCGGGCACCGGATCAGGTGGAACAAAGCGTGAAAGATACCGAACATTAAACACGTCCGAAGTGTTTATGTGAGCTGGAAGTTGCAGGCGGTAGGCATTATCATTAATACGCTCCAGAACCTCAAGAGGACCAATCTTCTTTGCCTTAAGTTTGTTATACGCATGAGCCGGCATCCTATCTTTAGTGAGAAACGCCCAAACAAGGTCGCCTACTTCGAAAACAAGGCATCGTCGATGTGAATCCGCAGCATTCTTATATTTTGTCGCAGAAGCTTCCAAATTCGTAACAACCTTCTCATGGACTTGATGAATGTTTGCGATGAATTCATCAACATGCTTAACCAGGTTCAATAGCATTAATATTTTGTTTAGAACTAATACGATTAGATTCTAAACTTAAACATATATTAATTAATCATTTTAATTAGATTAAAAATTGTTTTAATTATTTATAAATCCAATAAAATACATATAAGATATGTATTAGTTATATTTATATTTTATTTTTGATATAAATTTTAAATATAAAGGTAAATTTGGATTAAAATTTATTCCTCATTAATTTTAAGTACTTTTGATGTCTACCCAATCTTATCAACCATCAAGACTCGTTTCGTTGTAAGATGGGTTTGCCAAAGCAAGGTGTCTGCAATTACATGAGTGAGGTGGATGGTAACGGTTACCATGTGAAACAAGATTGGTTTACTTGACTAGGCTATCAAAACGGTTTTGGGCTTAGAGACATAGGTTGGTAAGACATAAGATGTCGTCTCAGAACCAAGAATTATATTGGATATAATTAGCAAAGTGTTGCTTACCTAAATAGTTAGAATTCGGGCGATGAGCCAAAGCTCACTCGAATTTTAGTGAAATAAGGAGCTTGAATTATTATATTCATTTGAGGAAATTGTTTTGAATATAATATGAGTTTTCTTAATTGTTGAGATTTCTCAATTCATGAACATCATATTAACACTCCCTATTCTTTTATTCCAGAAATGACAACTCCCCACTATTCGTTCTCATTGCGATCTGTCCTTGAGAAGGATAAATTGAATGGATCAAATTTCCTTTAATGGTGTCGAAACTTGAGAATTGTTCTCAAGCAGGAGAAAAAGGACTATGTCCTAGAAAAAGTTCTTCCTGAAAAACCTAAGACCAGTGTCCAACATGCTGAAAGAACTGCTTATGAGAAGCATGTCAGTGATAGGGTCGATGTGTGTTGTCTTATGTTGGCAACCATGAACTCGGATTTGCAGAAGCAATACCAGAACGTGGACTCACCAATTGACATGATCACTAGCCTGAAAGGTATGTTTCAGGAGCAAGCTCGAACTGAGAGATACCAAACGGTTAGGTCTCTCATTGAGTGCAAGCTACCAACAGATGGTCCAGTTAGCCCGCATGTCATTAAGATGATGGGTTATATTGACAACTTGGCTAAGCTGGATTGTCCTATCAGCCAAGAGTTGGCGACTGATCTCATCCTACAGTCATTGCCGTCAAGCTATGATCAATTTGTTATGAACTACAACATGAACAACTTGACAAAGACTTTGACTGAGCTGCATGGGATGCTTAAAACAGCTGAACCTAACATCAAGAAGGATACCCCAAATGTTCTTATGGTACAAGGGGGTAACAAGTTTAAGAAACAAGGTAAGAACAAAGGAAAGGGTAAGCCAGGCTGGACTGCGAATCCAAGCAAGCTTGATTTTCTAAGTTTAAGCCTGGTCCTTCTAATGTTGATAAGGGCCATTATTGTAATGGTTGTGGACATTGGAAAAGAAACTCTGAGAAATACTTGGAAGATCTGAAAAAGAAGAAGATTTCTGAAACGTCATCTTCAGGTATTTACGTTATAAAAAGTAAATGTTACTATTTTGACTCTATTTCTTTGGTATTTGATACAAATTGTGGTACTCATATTTGTAGAAATATGCAGGGCCTAAAGAACAATAGAGTCTTGGAGAAAGGACAAGTGGACCTTCGCGTGGAAAATGAAGCAAGAGTTGCTGCATTAGCTGTAGGAATATTTCATTTGTTTTTGTCTTCTTGCATGGTTTTGGAAACTAAGAATTGCTAATATGTATCTGCTATAAGAAGAAATATTATTCAATTGTTTGGATTTGGAAGGTTTTCATTTTGATTAAAAGACAAGTGTTGTTTATTTGATCATTGCGATATCTTTTATAGTTAAGGTCTATTAGAGAATGGACTTTATATATTCCAAACCAAAGCGTGCATACTTATAACATTAGTACCAAAAGATTCAAGTCTTATGACAAGAATCAAGCTTTTCTTTAACATTGTCGTTTGGGCTACATAAGTGAGAAGCACATCAAAAGTTTTATGGTGATGGAATTTTGAGCTCATTTGATTATGAATCATATGAGAAATGTGAATCTTGCTTAGGGTAAAATGACTAAAGCTTCTCTTACTGAACATAGTGAATCAGATAACATACTTGTTGAAATTATACATATTGATGTATGTGGACCAATGAGTATAAATGTTAAAGGAAGCTATTAGTACTTCATAGTTATGTTTATGTAGAAACAAAAGTCTGATTTTTTTGAAAGGTTCAAAGATTTTCAGAATAAAGTACAAAATAAACTTGACAAGAAAATTAAAGCTATGCGATCCGATCGAAGTGGAAATTGAGTCAAGCGTTTAATGATCATCTTAGAAGATGTGGAATTGTTTCACAACTCATTTCTCCGGGAACACGACAGTTGAATGGTGTGTTTTTGAAAGGAGAAACCAAACTTTATTAGATATCGTTTGGTCAATGATGAGTCATACAGATCTTCCATTATCCTTTTGGGGATACATTTTTGAAAAATCTGTGTTTACTTTTAAAATCCCACTGAGAACAAAGTGTTTGTTGATAGTAGTGGTGTTTTTCTAGAAAGAGAATTTCTTTTCAAGAAGAACAGTGGGAGTAAAATACAGATCGAAGGAATTCGAGAAATTCAGGAAGTTCTCATAGTAAAAGACATGGGAAAGGCTACACATGTTCATGGAATAAGAATCTATGAAGATAGATTAAGTCTGTTGAATTATGTAAAGATACTTATATCGATAAGGTCTTGCATATATTCAAAATGCGTGATTCCAAGAAGGGCTTCTTGCCAGTATCTCATGGCATAACTCTTAGCAAGAATCAGTGTCCTTCAAAACATGATGAGCGAGAGCGGATGAGCAGAATCCCATATGCTTTGGATATAGGATCTATCATGTATGCCATGACGAGTCGATACAATTTTTTCCAGGTGAAAGTCACTGGACAACAGTCAAGACTATCCTCAAGTATTTAAGAAATACTAAAGATAAATTCTTGATCTATGGAAGAAGTGATGAACTTGTTGTGAGTGGTTACACTGATGCCAGCTTTCAGACGGACAAAGATGGTTTCCGATCACAGTCTGGTTTCATCTTTTGTTTTAATGA